TCTCTTTCCCTATGCCATACCCTGTTCTTATCTCTCTGTCTCTTTCTTTCTTTATTTTTTGTCCACTTATACATTTTACATAAAAATGACTATTATAATAGTTTCATGTCACCACGTGATCATATTTATGTAAATGTTTATGTGTATGTTGTAGGAGAAGTCATTTATAAGTTGGTAAAACTTACTGGCTAATCCTATTGTCAATGTCATTGTCAATAAAATATGTTTAAACTAATTACTGGAAGAAAAATCTAACCATGAAACTTCAAGGAAGATACCATGTAAATACATTTAATGTAATTACTTACCTCATACTCAGTGTGTTTGTTACCTGTTAAGAACCGTTAATTATCCAATTAGCCAAGCCTTTCCTGCTTGTTAAGTCAGGTACCCGAGTGAATTTGTTTATGTAAGGTAATTAAATATGATAGGGTCACGATAATTGTGGTTTCCTAATTATCAATGGATCAAACCACAACTGTTTCATCGCGGTAACCAGTAATCAATTAATTTTTCTGTAGCAAATCTTTTTTTTTAATTTGACCCCAAAAAAGGACCTGCGCACTAAACCCGAGTGCGCACTATACCCGCAAATTTACGGTACACTTTAATCTATCTGAAATGCTGTGTACACCTTATCTACTTTCCTCAACTACAAATATAATCATGATAAGTAAGGACTATTACTTTGCAATATATTCAAAATAAAGAAGAAGGTATAAAGTCCTTTCGATTTGTTTAAATCCTCATATTGATAGGAGAGTAATTGCAACATCTTGGGTATTTCAAAGGTTTTATTTAGTCAACTTCATCATAGAGTTATTTATCATTTGGCTTGTTGGCGATAAATATATGGTTGTGTGTATTTTATTTTATTTATTTTTTTTTTTTTTTTTTTTACCTATTTTGATTTGTTCACATTATTGTCGTCAAATTTGAAATAAGAATTAAAGAAGACATAAAATCGCTTAAAATTAAGAAAAATAGCCTCTGGTTCTCTTATTTTAGTAATTTTTTAATTCCAAAGTGTAGGAGTATGGGGAAAGTAATATAGCTTTGCGGTTATTTGTGAACATTTTTCAATACGTTTAGCCTCTCAGTACTTTCAGTACTTTGATTTTATGTTATGACAAACTTCTGGGGTTGAACTCCTAAACCTTGAACCCTTGAAAAGCTGGAGTTACTGTGGTACAAAGTAGATGTTCTGCCATAGGAGCTCACTGGAGCAACACTAGAGTCTGACAATGATGTGAATTCAGATGACTCGGAAACTGTTTACCAGCTGACAGATGTGTTAGATCAGTTTAGCGTACAAAGCGATGGTGAAAAAAAAAGACAGTGGTCTGGATTGACAATATGTACCCTCGTACAGATATGGTATATAAACACGTGTGGTCATTATTATTTTAGTTTCGGAGAGCAATGTCAACAGTTATATGGTTTGTCTTTTTCTTAATGTGACCTGTACTTTTGTTTGCCAAATTGTGTATATTGTAATTGTTTTGGGAGAGGGCGTCGATAATGTTGATATAACTTGTGCCCAATCCCTTTGTTATTCTGTGGCAATAAAGTATGTTTAAATCAAATCATGTACTATAGACTATGGCTTACAATTATAATCTTTCGTGATGATATATAACTATTTAATTTTTTTGCATTTTTCTTTTATCATTTAGTTTGATGTTATATTTTGGATCGCTGTGTGTTTTACCGTTTGATGGCATATCAGTTTTTTCGGTCTTTCAGTGGACACCAAGAGATAAGCTGTCACATGATCCATAATTGTTTTAGCAACCATTGTTAAAATTGTTATTGTTCATTTATAAATTGTGTTTCTGAATGAGATATTTGATTTTGTATCTAGTGGTTATCAATGACAACTCGTCGGTATATTCAATAACATCGATATCAGCTGGCAAGATTGCGTCAGACTGTGGTAACAATGTATTGCTACTTGAGAAAATATGTGTGTGGTATTTCATGTTCATCGAAAAGGAACAGAAGTAGACAATATGTTGTTACGTAATCAACACCATGCATCTAAGCTTGATGTGGTGACATTGTAACGTAGGACGAGCGGCGAGAAGCTATCAGGAAAATGAAACACAATACCATTATAAAGATTAACAATTTATTTACAACATGAACGTAAACAAAGCACACTCACACATTCCCTCAGATTCACACAAAATATTACAGTTCAGTGTTACACAAAGTCTCTGTTGATCACACCCCAACGGTCCTTCACACCAGGAATGAAAAGTTCAAGAAAACCCCCAAATACTGGTATAAAAATGGAGACAAAGGATTCCTATCCAGACAACTGACGAACTACTACCGCAGTAGTACTCTGGCGCTGTGCGTGCCACACAAAATCTCAAGCAGAGTAGAGCTCACATTTATAGATGCCATATCTGTACCGCTATGCTCCTCGGAACGTGTACCCCAATGCCAAACCTGTACTGTCTGCTGGTGCCGACTCTCACTGATAAAACCGTTGTGGCCTTGATGAGGTAGCTGGTGTCGTTGTGACCGGTGGGAAAAGCTTAAAAGAATAGTAACGAAGATTGACTCGCATACAACACTTGCACATTATTATGACACAATCAACTACTATTTTAAATGAAATTATCCCCAGAAATACTCCTAAATTACACAGTACATGATACATTTCGAAGAGTTATAAAGGTATAACATAATGAACGACTAATGCGGGCTCAGAATAACATAACGACCATCTAGCAAACAATGTATGAGACATTATAAGGCAACTCACGGCTTCCGTACTTTTTCAAACACGCATACGTTTTCACCTGAGTATTCTATACGCTTATAAAATACATATAACTTATAACATCTGGAAGAAGTTATAGAAACAGCTACAATAATAACATTCCTAGAAAATACTAAGATACAATCTAAGAAAGGACACCCTAGTGTAGCTTTATACATAAAAACAACAATGCTACGCATGACTGAGCCGCACAAACAACGAGTGTTTATCAAAGATATTTATTAAGAAAAAGGCTAAGAAAGCAATAATGCGAAGAAAGAGATATTAAGATAGACTTACCACAGTCCGCAATCTGTGCCTGTATATTCTCCCTGTAGTGGTTACACCGGGTAAATAACCCGTAAACAACCCCTGCGGAATTCATTCGACCTCCATGAACTCCCACTCACCTGGTCACACGCACAAGTACGGTCGCTCGACAGGGATAACGAAAATACCGAACGTAGACAACACCATATACATACATACGACGTGACATACATCATACCGACAACATGTAACGTTGGAATGCTTATTAAATTTGAGTATATTGAAATGGTTAATGAAGAAACAGGCATCACGTCAATTTTCGTTTCTTACTTCGAGAGCGAGTGTAATAGAATAAAGCAAATGATAAATGATTAGCATTATGGGTATTACCACTGACGTGTATAGTAGATAACATGTAAGGGATAGACACGACTTTCTAAGCTGTTGGATAACCTTATCTACAATAACGTAGAAATTAGTATGACGGGATGTCAAAAAGGATTACAAAAGTTCACAAGGTGGTAATAATATAATATATCCGATTCAGCTACGCTTTGTATAACACTTCGTCAAAGCTACGCGTCCCTCTTCAGTGCTGGCCCGCCATGGCATTTCCAAATGGCCTCCTTGACCACTTGCCTGAAAAGGATGTTTTCCCTTTTAATAAATAATTTGGATTTTTCCAGGTGAATATGATTCTGTGTCGTGAAATGATCCGCAAGTGCCAATTTATTGACCTGAGACTAAAACTACTTTCACTCTGATTTGACTAATTTCATGCCGTCTTCAACGTCTCTCTGTTGTTCATTAAATTGAGCCCGAATCTCTTGCACATTTGCCAGGAGTTCTTATATCCGTTCATGCGTGTATATGCATTCTGCGACGTTCTCTTTGGGTGTTTTACCAATCACATGAACTTGGATATGTAGGATATTATTTTTAGGTTCTTTGGTTGTTGTAATGCCATGAACAGGATAAATCTGATATAAGGGATGACTAAATGTCCTTTATTTTTGTTTTTTCCTTAGTGTTTTGTTTCTTGGTATTTTATTTGCTTTCCCCAAATTCTTTTACCGATAAGGGTATCCACATGTTTCCATGGCGCTATAGCCGTGAATTCGTTCTTACTTCTCATCTTGTTGTTCTGGCGTAATTGTATCATGTTTGTTCTTACAAGAACTTCCAGCATTGGTCAGTGTTTGTCTTTTTCACATAGTTTTTTTTATAATGTTGTCATCCGTCTTTACTAGTTTACGTTACTACCCTAATCTCGATTCCTTCCTCGCAGATGAATTTGAAGCTGTATACGATATCTAAGGTATTAGCATGTACAGTCAAATCTGTCTATGCCCCTTTCTTTAGAATTTCCAATCGATCATCGACATATTGATTCTACAGACTAGACTTGCATTATGCAGGGGTCTTGGTTATGATTGGCCACAATTGGAGACGCTTGGCTGTACATGACTGTACCATAACGTTGAGATACCTTAAAACATATAGCTTAAGTACAAATTCTGGTAATTGCATAATGTCTTAGAGATTGAAACTCCGACTGCTACCAAGTGCTTTGTTGATGGTGTGCTGGTGGAAAAAAGTCACAATACATTTAAAATGAAATTCTCATAATTTTGGATAAGTACAGTGGACATACTTTCGACAAGATCTTTCGAGTTTTTGATATCCAATTCAGGGCATGTGGTGGGTAACAAGGATGAACACGTAGTAGTCACGCTGACGTTGTACCATAAGTGGAGTGCATTCGTCTTTTCAGTTCCGCGAATTGAAATTCTGTCAATCATCCTACAAAACAATTACATTTTATACAAACAAGATATCTAAAATATGTACGAGGTCATAACATAAGCGATGTCGTAGTAACGAAGACAAAAGTCAGTTTGACTATTTGCTGTACGAAATATATATCAAAATACATTTGATGTTTATGTTTTATTAGATGCTGAGTTTGAGAATATCAAACGAACTAACAGAGCAAAGGACAATAAGTCATACAAAACTGGCTTGTACAACGATGGGAAAACGTTTCCTACTGAAATGGCTTACCATAATTATGCCATCAATGAAGACATTTCTGTTCGGACCCCTAACTGGAACTTAATGGCATACAACTCAAAACAACACATGGTTAAAGCCAGATGGCCAGGGGTAAATACCGACACAGATTTTGCAACTGTCTTAATATCTTGAGGATATAAAGCAAATTTTACTAAAAAGTGATTCTTCCAAGTTTACTGTTGATTTAAAAAAAAAAAAAAAAAAAAGCCAAGAACGCATTGCGGAATACTTCAAATCATTTGAAAATTAAAATTATTATTATCTAAAAATGTATGGATACAATCTGAACAACAAAAAACGGTCAGTTTACACAGAAGGAGTTAATATCTCAATATATCATGTTAATACCAGTGTTTTCATTGAAATGTTAAAGCTGTCTTATTCAATTTCCTATTTATTGGTATTGGTATCAAAAACAATTGAAAAGAAATGGGGGAAGTTAACATATCGTTATGACTTTTACATATTCATGGTGACATTTGTTTAAATACAGATATATGAATGGCCTGACAATGATGAAAACAGTGACGGACCCGAACCACACCGGGCTCGGCCTCGGCGAGCCTCTTTTTCCTCGACAGACAGAAACGGAAGAAATGCAAGAAACGTCATACTTGCAGTTATAGCAGTATTAGTGGTAGCGGTTGTAATAACGATCATAATGCTGATTGTTCTCGCAGAAGGTAAGTTAGCATATTTTTCTAACTTATTTATCTGTTATATAGACTTGGCGAAAGGCTAGGTACCACCAGTATCTTACAATTTTCTTAATTAACTGCATTTAAGCAAATGCCATCTCCACAGGACACACATGAGTAGGAATGTCTTAGTTGTCTAATGAAAATATACTGAGTCGATAGAAAAAGAAAGTTACAGAACCGAAAGTGGTGTATCATTTTACATAAACTTGCTCAAAAAGGCGTCCCAACATCCAGAAAAGAAATCACAGATAACAGATACGTAAATTGTCACAACATGTTACTTGATCAAGACGACTAACTAATTAACGAGTATATGGGTATAAAGATATCAATACTGGGTAGAGCCACCACGCTTCTGGTACAAATTCTTTATCTGCCTTCGCATACCATTGACCAGACGCCAAATCTTATTGTGAAGAAACCCCTGTCACTCATGCAACAATCTTGCACTTAGTTCTCCAGTTATTTAGAGCACACGGTTTTGATTAGACACGGAAATCGATATTCTCTGTCTGTAGTATTTCGAGACGTGCCAAACCTGAAACACAACATGTCCGGTTTGTATGTCTATAGAACATTAAGAGAATGGTTGTATATCAAAGCACGTCGATCCATTCCAGAAGCTTGCCGTTTTTCAGCAATTGTCATCTTTTAATGTGGCATTTTGGACAAAAAAAATTAATCGTTAAGTTTGATATTTGGCTTGGTGGCAGACGGCTCCAAACACAGACAGTACAAGGAATACGATATGTTCATTTTTTCAAAAAAGAAAAATCAGTTTTGATTCAAATTTCCATACCGAAATTAACAATCCCTAAGTTATGGCTAAGTGTATGTCTGAGAAATATGTATATAAAATACAGGAAAAAATTATGTAGAATTAACATGATATTACAGTTGTTTGAGAAATATGATGATTAATGATTCAAGACTAAGATACTGGCTTAATGCATGTCAATTTCTCATTGATGCCGTGAATGTGAAAATTAAGTGTCTAATGATATATCAGGTACCAAGCCATTATCAAAGTAATCGATTGTTGTCTTTCACCTATAAATTTTGAGAGACAAATATTCAAATAGCAACTTGGGTTTATAATATTTATGAACATATGTTTTATGTTGTCAGACTGGTAAAAATACATCTAATTTATAGAATATAAACACTTGACCACATTAATTTGATCTCCTTCCCTATAAATAAACCAACATTCTTCTTTAAGTAGCAAAGATATGAAATTTACGAAAATACGTCTAGTGGATCTCTATCTAGATTTCGGCATTTCTTTCTTCATCACTGGATTTTCCTCAGTCGCCTGATAGGTTTAAAAATTAGGTCCTTAGCGTTAAGGACGAAACAGCTGTATGATGCAGTTTAATTAAATGTTTGACTCTAAAGTATCTTATTTGAATTTGTTTTGAAGGTCATATGCACTTATCCGTATTTTATGATTAACAGAATCGATGTTTTTGTTTGCGGGAAAAAATAAAACGATTATCTTCACCAAAACACTGAAGCATATACATCAAAGAAAAATAGTAGTTTTCTTTCTGATTGACCTAACGGTCAATAAAAAAATGACTAGGCTAGAGAAAATGTAGTAACAACTATCATATATAGATACAAACAGGATATATATATACATATATAGAAAAAACTTGATTTGACGAGGTGCGAGTAAATTATAAATAAAAATGATTTTTGACAAAAGAAGAAAGACGTTACATTTTGCACTAGCGCTTTCACTGTATTAGATCTTCAGGTGCATGGTAACTGTACATAAGGGTGTGGCGTCACAACATGTTATCTGTTGATGACGTCATAATATAAAAGGGGCATAATTATATTTTGCAAACTTTACAATGCGGTTAAACATTAATATTCAAGTCTGGTTTTAAAATGTTTATAATTTCTGACTCCTTGGCTTCTCTTTGTATTCGATTGGTTTCAGATGAAAAAGTATACACCAATCAGCCGACACATAGCAGGATGCAACGACGGCTTTTTCCAAATCTTCCCCCTGTATACTTTTTCATCTGAAACCAATCGAATACATTTTTATTTATACATATATATATATATTGTAGTACCAAGTTGAAGTCATGTATGGTCAAAGGGAGATAAGAAAACTACATAATATCAGTGGATGAAAAACTGTGAAAGTGAACGATACATTATACCCAACATGTAAATCGTTGATGAGAAATTTTATTCAGATATGTAGTTTTTGTTCTAATTTCAACTTAGAACAACAATCACAAATTTCAGCTTTGGTATTGAGAACTACTGTCTATTTTAGTAGGTATAATAGAGTTGAAATAATTTGTTCAGTAAATAAAGTTGTTTGAAATTGAGGTCAGAGATTTCCAAAGTCATTTGACATCATTTGATATTGAAGACTTTACCTGGAATAATATATCTAGTTACAAGGCAATTAACAAATATTTTGGAGATGAATTGCGTATTCGCTCATGTACGTTAGATTTACTAATATGACGACAAAAGTGCTTACCATAGTTATAATTCTTTCAGGAGCCGTGATCAAAGGTGAGTTTTGTTTTATCACTTAAATATAAAGGAAATTTTAAAATACTTCTAAGGTGTTTGTATTTACCACACATATATTATGTATCCCTCTCCTTATTTTTAATGCTGTTGCAAATGAAGTGTTTAACGAGATTGAACTCTTTTGTACTGCTGCACAGGAAATTTTCCCGGAAGATAATTAGATATTATTTATTGTATGTTCCGTGCATTGATTCCCAGTAATTTCGGGTTTTGGGTATTTTCTTGAAAAACACAGGAACTGTCAACTTGGAATTAAAGCTAGAAGACCGATTTCAAAGGGGCATGGAAAATTCCTCTTCACCTGTGTTCCAATCAGTGGCGAAACAACTTTGTGGAGAGGTAATATTTAAATAACATTACACATGAATCCAAACTACATTCTAATTTGTATATTTCAATGCTTGAGAAAGCGAGTGCCTAGAAATGTAATGAAAGATATGCACGTCATTGTCCTTGGTTTTGCAATTCTGTTCACTGTATTCACTGATATAGAACACCTTAAAATATAATCCTATCCCAAAATAAGTCTGTAGTTTCTTATATTAATAAAACTTCATTATCTTACTCTTAAATATATTCGCGTCTTAATTCCGAATGATTGATATCAGTTGGAAACACCTCGCAACTGTAAAATAATGGGGTTTTTTTATTATTATTTAATTTTTGTAAATGGTATATCATCAAAATCTTTCATGAGAACTTTTTGCATTAGTAGACTAAGCAAGCTTTAACCAAAAAGGAATACCTTCTTCTGGAAACCAGCATTGCCTGTAAACTGGAATCACTTCGGTACGTGCACATGCTCTATATTTCGAGCACGTTTACTACGTTTGAAAAGCTGTGCTACTTTTTAACGTTACCTTGATAGAACTACCTTAAGATTAGCCAGTCTGAACCAAACAAGTTTAACGGTTTTAAACCCTCAAGGAGAGGAAACCGAAATGGAAAAGTTGCGTAAAGCGGATTTGTTATATTTTACGGGCAATAAACTATAATTCCATTTCTGTGGGTGAGTAGTCTACTGCGATAAAACTTATATCTGACATATTATGCTATAATGAATACGAAAATACATATCGATTTTGCTATTCTGAGACCATATCTACCCAAAAAATGTTGTAAAGCATTTTGGTACATGTTTTCGTTAATCTTAACAATGAATTTCCTTGTCAATATACTTGAATAAGCTATTGTATTGACTATCCTTATTATTTGTAACAGCATATCTTAAGATGTAGGTCGAAATAAAATATTTGCATTATCGTTTCAGAAACGGGAGCATCATTGCTAGACTTGTGCTTACTATTATTGGCCAATACCATATACCCGAAAATAGCATGTATGTGGAGGCGATAACGACATATGTTGGAGCTAGTTCGAGACTTGGGCCCTACACTGTGGTTAAAAGAACTATAGTAGTTATTGCAGTTTCCTATTCGACTTTTGTTACAACTACCACCACTCCACAGACAATAACAGGTACGACCACTCATGGATTAACAACAACTACCACCACCTCTGAGCCTCCAGAGATAAAAGCTACTACTACCACCACTCCAGAGCCTACAACAACTACCAGTGAAGAACCATCAACAACCACAACCACTCAAAAGCCAGCATCGATAACAACCGTTCATGAGCCAGTAGCAATTTCCACCACTACAGAGCCAAAAGGTACAACCACTCCAGAACCAGCGTCGATTACAACCACTTCAGCACCAACAACAAATACAACCACTTCGGAGCTAACAGCAACTACTACTTCTCTAGAGCAAACAACATCTTCCATCTCTTCAGAGCCAATAGCAACTACCACCACTCCAGAACCGAAGGAAACTACCACCACTCCCACTCCACAACCAGCAAAAACTAGCATCACTTCAGAGCCTTCTGCAAATACCACCACTCAAGAACCGACAGAAACTACGACGACAACAACCACTAGAGAAACATCAAAAACTAACATCACTCCAGAGACGAAACTAACAACTACTACTTCAGAAACATCAGAACCTACCAACACGCAAAGGTCGACAGCTACTACCACCACACCAGAACCTACAACAACTACCAGTCATGAACCATCAACAACCACAACCACTCAAAAGCCAGCATCGATAACAACCGCTCATGAGCCAGTAGCAATTTCCACCACTACAGAGCAAAAAGGTACAACCACTCCAGAACCAGCGTCGATTACAACCACTTCAGCACCAACAACAAATACAACCACTTCAGAGCAAACAGCAACTACTACTTCTCTAGAGCCAACAACATCTTCCATCTCTTCAGAGCCAATAGCAACTACCGTCACTCCAGAACCGAAGGAAACTACCACCACTCCCACTCCACAACCAGCAAAAACTAGCATCACTTCAGAGTCTTCTGCAAACACCACCACTCCAGAACCGACAGCGCCTACCACCACTCAAACTCCACAACCAGCACAAACTACCACCACTCCAGAACCGACAGAGACTACTACCACTGTTACTCCACAACCAGCACAAACTACCACCACTTCATCGCCTTCTGCAAATACCACCACTACAGAACCGACAGAAACTACGACGACAACCACCACTAGAGATCCATCAAAAACTAACATCACTCCAAAGACGAAACTAACAACTACTACTTCAGAAACATCAGAACCTTCCAACACGCAAAAGCCGACAGCTACTACCACCACACCAGAACCAACTACCATAACTCAAGAACCAACAGCAACTATCACCACTCCAGAACCATCGAACACTACTACCACTTCAGATCTATCAGCAGCTACCATTACTCCAGAGGCAACGCAATCAACCACCACTTCAGAACCATCAAAAACTTTCACCACTCCAAAGCCAACTGCAATAACCTCAGAGACAATAGCAACTTCCACCACTCATACCACACAAGAACCATCAAAAACTACCTTTACTTCAGAGACTTCTGCAAATACCACCACTCCAGAACCGACAGCGCCTACCACCTCTATAACTCCACAACCAGCAAAAACCACCACCACTTCAGAGCCTTCTGCAAATACCACCACTCAAGAACCGACAGAAACTACGACGACAACAACCACTAGAGAAACATCAAAAACTAACATCACTCCAGAGACGAAACTAACAACTACTACTTCAGAAACATCAGAACCTACCAACACGCAAAGGTCGACAGCTACTACCACCACACCAGAACCTACAACAACTACCAGTCATGAACCATCAACAACCACAACCACTCAAAAGCCAGCATCGATAACAACCGCTCATGAGCCAGTAGCAATTTCCACCACTACAGAGCCAAAAGGTACACCACTCCAGAACCAGCGTCGATTACAACCACTTCAGCACCAACAACAAATACAACCACTTCGGAGCTAACAGCAACTACTACTTCTCTAGAGCCAACAACATCTTCCATCTCTTCAGAGCCAATAGCAACTACCACCACTCCAGAACCGAAGGAAACTACCACCACTCCCACTCCACAACCAGCAAAAACTAGCATCACTTCAGAGCCTTCTGCAAATACCACCACTCCAGAACCGACAGAAACTACGACGACAACAACCACTAGAGAAACATCAAAAACTAACATCACTCCAGAGACGAAACTAACAACTACTACTTCAGAAACATCAGAACCTACCAACACGCAAAGGTCGACAGCTACTACCACCACACCAGAACCTACAACAACTACCAGTCATGAACCATCAACAACCACAACCACTCAAAAGCCAGCATCGATAACAACCGCTCATGAGCCAGTAGCAATTTCCACCACTACAGAGCAAAAAGGTACAACCACTCCAGAACCAGCGTCGATTACAACCACTTCAGCACCAACAACAAATACAACCACTTCAGAGCAAACAGCAACTACTACTTCTCTAGAGCCAACAACATCTTCCATCTCTTCAGAGCCAATAGCAACTACCGTCACTCCAGAACCGACGGAAACTACCACCACTCCCACTCCACAACCAGCAAAAACTAGCATCACTTCAGAGTCTTCTGCAAACACCACCACTCCAGAACCGACAGCGCCTACCACCACTCAAACTCCACAACCAGCACAAACTACCACCACTCCAGAACCGACAGAGACTACTACCACTGTTACTCCACAACCAGCACAAACTACCACCACTTCATCGCCTTCTGCAAATACCACCACTACAGAACCGACAGAAACTACGACGACAACCACCACTAGAGATCCATCAAAAACTAACATCACTCCAAAGACGAAACTAACAACTACTACTTCAGAAACATCAGAACCTTCCAACACGCAAAAGCCGACAGCTACTACCACCACACCAGAACCAACTACCATAACTCAAGAACCAACAGCAACTATCACCACTCCAGAACCATCGAACACTACTACCACTTCAGATCTATCAGCAGCTACCATTACTCCAGAGGCAACGCAATCAACCACCACTTCAGAACCATCAAAAACTTTCACCACTCCAAAGCCAACTGCAATAACCTCAGAGACAATAGCAACTTCCACCACTCATACCACTCAAGAACCATCAAAAACTACCTTTACTTCAGAGACTTCTGCAAATACCACCACTCCAGAACCGACAGCGCCTACCACCTCTATAACTCCACAACCAGCAAAAACCACCACAACTTCAGAGCCTTCTGCAAATACCACCACTCCAGAACCGACGGACACTACCACCACTCCCACTAAGAAACCAGCAAAAACTAGCATCACTTCGGAACCTTTAGCAAATAACTCCCACTCAACCAGCAAAAACCACCATCACTTCGAGAACCTTTAGCAAATACCACCACTCCAGAACCGACGAACACTACCACAACTCCCACTCCAGAACCAGCAATAACTACCACCACTGCAAAGCCTTCTGCAAATACCACCATTCCAGAACCGACAGAAACTACGACGACAACAACCACTAGAGAAACATCAAAAACTAACATCACTCCAGAGACGAAACTAACAACTACTACTTCAGAAACATCAGAACCTACCAACACGCAAAGGTCGACAGCTACTACCACCACACCAGAACCTACAACAACTACCAGTCATGAACCATCAACAACCACAACCACTCAAAAGCCAGCATCGATAACAACCGCTCATGAGCCAGTAGCAATTTCCACCACTACAGAGCAAAAAGGTACAACCACTCCAGAACCAGCGTCGATTACAACCACTTCAGCACCAACAACAAATACAACCACTTCAGAGCAAACAGCAACTACTACTTCTCTAGAGCCAACAACATCTTCCATCTCTTCAGAGCCAATAGCAACTACCGTCACTCCAGAACCGACGGAAACTACCACCACTCCCACTCCACAACCAGCAAAAACTAGCATCACTTCAGAGTCTTCTGCAAACACCACCACTCCAGAACCGACAGCGCCTACCACCACTCAAACTCCACATCCAGCACAAACTACCACCACTCCAGAACCGACAGAGACTACTACCACTGTTACTCCACAACCAGCACAAACTACCACCACTTCATCGCCTTCTGCAAATACCACCACTACAGAACCGACAGAAACTACGACGACAACCACCACTAGAGATCCATCAAAAACTAACATCACTCCAAAGACGAAACTAACAACTACTACTTCAGAAACATCAGAACCTTCCAACACGCAAAAGCCGACAGCTACTACCACCACACCAGAACCAACTACCATAACTCAAGAACCAACAGCAACTATCACCACTCCAGAACCATCGAACACTACTACCACTTCAGATCTATCAGCAGCTACCATTACTCCAGAGGCAACGCAATCAACCACCACTTCAGAACCATCAAAAACTTTCACCACTCCAAAGCCAACTGCAATAACCTCAGAAACAATAGCAACTTCCACCACTCATACCACTCAAGAACCATCAAAATCTACCTTTACTTCAGAGACTTCTGCAAATACCACCACTCCAGAACCGACAGCGCCTACCACCTCTATAACTCCACAACCAGCAAAAACCACCACCACTTCAGAGCCTTCTGCAAATACCACCACTCCAGAACCGACGGACACTACCACCACTCCCACTCAAGAACCAGCAAAAACTAGCATCACTTCGGAACCTTTAGCAAATACCACCACTCCAGAACCGACGGACACTACCACCACTCCCACTCAAGAACCAGCAAAAACTAGCATCACTTCGGAACCTTTAGCAAATACCACCACTCCAGAACCGACGAACACTACCACAACTCCCACTCCAGAACCAGCAATAACTACCACCACTGCAGAGCCTTCTGCAAATACCACCATTCCAGAACAGACAGAAACTACGACGACAGAGACAAAACCAACAGCTACTACTTCAAAAACATCAGAATCTATCAACACGCAAAAGCCAACAGCTACTACCACCACACCTCAACCATTAGCAACTACCATAACTCCAGAACCATCAGCAATTACTTCCACTCCTTGGCTATCAGAAGATGTCACCACCACCCCAAAAGCAGCAAACGCTACAGCAGCATCTACTGTCACTCCAGAACCGTCAACAATTACAAAAGAGCCAACGATGTCCACCAGTCCGCAACCAACCACACTTACCACCAATCCAGAGTCGACTACAACCATATATACTAATGAGTCAGCAAACATATCAACAAACAGACCCATCACTACTAGAACTAACCCTGTCGGTAAGAGTTTTTCTTACTTCACTAAGCTTGCATCCACCCTGTTGTTGCACTGGAAGCATTCTTATGTCATTTTTCATGTCGAATAGCTGAAATGATTCTCGTCGGCTTAAAAACACTTTTTCTTCATTCTCTGCCTTTATTGGACTAAATTTCAGTTTCAATTACTATTTTGGAATGTGTCTCTTTCGGATAAAAACTGAGAGATAAGATAGAAAATATCTTAACAGGTCATCACGTATATTTGTTAGTATATCCATTTAAGATTTTTAACATATGTATTTAACATTTTGGTATGTTTGATGTTAATTCTTTTTGGATCGCTGTGTGTTTTACCGTTTGATGGTCCTAATAACATTTTATGAATTGACGGGCCGTTAAGAATGTAATAATAATAATAATTCTCCTTAAAAAACGATATTTGTTTTATAATCTTATTTCAGGAATGAAAATATACAACAAAATTACTTATCTACATCAGGATCTTCTCATTGAATGCAATATCGAAAACACTCCGAACACCTGGGATAAGGTGAAGCTTATCTCCTCTGACGACAGCATTGGAGTTGTAGCTGTTGGCTATTCTAATGGAACAACACAGAAAGACAACAACTCGTACCAACTGACCCTTGAACCCGGCGATAGCAACGTAACACTAAGTCTTCTTTTCCCCAACACCACGAAGCATTGTTTTGTCAGGAGTAACTACACGTGTCAACTTCATAGCAATGGAAATATATTTGTGGAGTCCATGGAGTACATTTCCATCCCAGGTATGTTGATCCTGAGATGTTGTTTTGAAGTGTTCATGCCAAAAATGAACAGCTTCCTTTCTGATCTAAGCGCATTTATCAAAATATCCATATGGGCATATCATTGATCAATACAAATAGTTCATGTTGTGAAAAGTGAAACCATAGCTTCATAAAATTATATAGCAATTGTTTCAATTATTTCATCGAGTCATTAATGAATAAATACTGAAACTAAGTTGCAGACGCAGCGGAGAATATCCACATTGTTGGGCCTACAACGGTGAACGAGGGTGATAGTTATGTGGTGAACTGTAGCGGGGATCTGGCTCCATCAGATAGTACACTGGACCTGTATACCAGAACCGTAAACGCCACGTTATTTACAAAGTCTCCGATTAATCCTCAAATCACGAATGGTAACGTCACCGAATCCTGCTACCTCCACACAACAAAGAGGTACAGTCTCAGCGCCAGTAAGACTGATAATGGCACAGAGATGAGGTGTGAGGCAGCGAATTCCTCCCCTGGTTCAAAGACGATCTCTAGCGCACAAATGATCTTGGTGAAAGTTGCCGGTAACTATATCCCTTTTTACAAATATTGTAACAAAATGTATGTACGATAGAAATATTGGGCGAAGTTTGCTATCACACATGTGCGAGCACCATGTGCAGTTCCAGATGTGTAATTGTATCGTTGTAAATAAATCTTTATAAGTGACGTATGAATAAGTGTTGGATAGGGTAAATTTATTTTCTTAATATTTATGAAAACAGCTAAGTTTGTGTATATTTCCTGATTAACCTATATTGTTTTAAGTCAGACACGGTTAGCTCTATCAGTTACAGACAAAAATGCAACACATGACCGATCTTAATGTAAAGATACGATGTATATACTTTACATAAGTAAACATTAGAAAGACGTCCCTTTTTAAATCGGTAATGAATCGTCTAAAATCTTACATTGTTGGAGAGAAAATACTAATGGCATACCTTTTGTATTTCGATTTTTCATTTCGTAAAGACAATAATATATGCTCAACTAAGTTCAAGGTATTGTGTGTCTTACATCAGAAACCTTGTCGGTACAGTCCTGTCATGTCCATATCATAATAGATTTTGTTACAAATATCACACAACTAGCCACTCTTTGAAATGTCAAATCTATTCACTCGAGACACAGGGTTCGGTAGTTTTTCAATAGTGAAAAGGTAGAGATGACTTTGTTAATCAATGATCAAAACTAGAATGGTTGATGTATAGTGATAACTTCACAAGTTTTCCGATTGAGTTTTGATACGTGGCATTAAAAATGGCTGATCCTATCGAATATTTGTACGCCGTATCATATTTTGTGTGCCGTCATTAAACTAGACTTATTTGAGCACGATTTGTATACATATTTCCAGAACTAGTAATTGAAACATCGCTTACACCAACACATGAGGATCTCAAAATTGAATGTAATATTCAAAACGCTCCGAACACCTGGGATAAGGTGAAGCTTATCTCCTCTGACGACAGCATTGGAGTTGTAGCTGTTGGCTATTCTAATGGAACAACACAGAAAGACAACAACTCGTACCAACTGACCCTTGAACCCGGCGATAGCAACGTAACACTAAGTCTTCTTTTCCCCAACACCACGAAGCATTGTTTTGTCAGGAGTATCTACACGTGTCAACTTCATAGCAATGGAAATATATTTGTGGAGTCCATGGAGTACATTTCCATCCCAGGTATGTTGATCCTGAGATGTTGTTTTGAAGTGTTCATGCCAAAAATGAACAGCTTCCTTTCTGATCTAAGCGCATTTATCAAAATATCCATATGGGCATATCATTGATCAATACAAATAGTTCATGTTGTGAAAAGTGAAACCATAGCTTCATAAAATTATATAGCAATTGTTTCAATTATTTCATCGAGTCATTAATGAATAAATACTGAAACTAAGTTGCAGACGCAGCGGAGAATATCCACATTGTTGGGCCTACAACGGTGAACGAGGGTGATAGTTATGTGGTGAACTGTAGCGGGGATCTGGCTCCATCAGATAGTACACTGGACCTGTATACCAGAACCGTAAACGCCACGTTATTTACAAAGTCTCCGATTAATCCTCAAATCACGAATGGTAACGTCACCGAATCCTGCTACCTCCACACAACAAAGAGGTACAGTCTCAGCGCCAGTAAGACTGATAATGGCACAGAGATGAGGTGTGAGGCAGCGAATTCCTCCCCTGGTTCAAAGACGATCTCTAGCGCACAAATGATCTTGGTGAAAGTTGCCGGTAACTATATCCCTTTTTACAAATATTGTAACAAAATGTATGTACGATAGAAATATTGGGCGAAGTTTGCTATCACACATGTGCGAGCACCATGTGCAGTTCCAGATGTGTAATTGTATCGTTGTAAATAAATCTTTATAAGTGACGTATGAATAAGTGTTGGATAGGGTAAATTTATTTTCTTAATATTTATGAAAACAGCTAAGTTTGTGTATATTTCCTGATTAACCTATATTGTTTTAAGTCAGACACGGTTAGCTCTATCAGTTACAGACAAAAATGCAACACATGACCGATCTTAATGTAAAGATACGATGTATATACTTTACATAAGTAAACATTAGAAAGACGTCCCTTTTTAAATCGGTAATGAATCGTCTAAAATCTTACATTGTTGGAGAGAAAATACTAATGGCATACCTTTTGTATTTCGATTTTTCATTTCGTAAAGACAATAATATATGCTCAACTAAGTTCAAGGTATTGTGTGTCTTACATCAGAAACCTTGTCGGTACAGTCCTGTCATGTCCATATCATAATAGATTTTGTTACAAATATCACACAACTAGCCACTCTTTGAAATGTCAAATCTATTCACTCGAGACACAGGGTTCGGTAGTTTTTCAATAGTGAAAAGGTAGAGATGACTTTGTTAATCAATGATCAAAACTAGAATGGTTGATGTATAGTGATAACTTCACAAGTTTTCCGATTGAGTTTTGATACGTGGCATTAAAAATGGCTGATCCTATCGAATATTTGTACGCCGTATCATATTTTGTGTGCCGTCATTAAACTAGACTTATTTGAGCACGATTTGTATACATATTTCCAGAACTAGTAATTGAAACATCGCTTACACCAACACATGAGGATCTCAAAATTGAATGTAATATTCAAAACGCTCCGAACACCTGGGATAAGGTGAAGCTTATCTCCTCTGACGACAGCATTGGAGTTGTAGCTGTTGGCTATTCTAATGGAACAACACAGAAAGACAACAACTCGTACCAACTGACCCTTGAACCCGGCGATAGCAACGTAACACTAAGTCTTCTTTTCCCCAACACCACGAAGCATTGTTTTGTCAGGAGTAACTACACGTGTCAACTTCATAGCAATGGAAATATATTTGTGGAGTCCATGGAGTACATTTCCATCCCAGGTATGTTGATCCTGAGATGTTGTTTTGAAGTGTTCATGCCAAAAATGAACAGCTTCCTTTCTGATCTAAGCGCATTTATCAAAATATCCATATGGGCATATCATTGATCAATACAAATAGTTCATGTTGTGAAAAGTGAAACCATAGTTTCATAAAATTATATAGCAATTGTTTCAATTATTTCATCGAGTCATTAATGAATAAATACTGAAACTAAGTTGCAGACGCAGCGGAGAATATCCACATTGTTGGGCCTACAACGGTGAACGAGGGTGATAGTTATGTGGTGAACTGTAGCGGGGATCTGGCTCCATCAGATAGTACACTGGACCTGTATACCAGAACCGTAAACGCCACGTTATTTACAAAGTCTCCGATTAATCCTCAAATCACGAATGGTAACGTCACCGAATCCTGCTACCTCCACACAACAAAGAGGTACAGTCTCAGCGCCAGTAAGACTGATAATGGCACAGAGATGAGGTGTGAGGCAGCGAATTCCTCCCCTGGTTCAAAGACGATCTCTAGCGCACAAATGATCTTGGTGAAAGTTGCCGGTAACTATATCCCTTTTTACAAATATTGTAACAAAATATATGTACGATAGAAATATTGGGCGAAGTTTGCTATCACACATGTGCGAGCACCATGTGCAGTTCCAGATGTGTAATTGTATCGTTGTAAATAAATCTTTATAAATGACGTATGAATAAGTGTTGGATAGGGTAAATTTATTTTCTTAATATTTATGAAAACAGCTAAGTTTGTGTATATTTCCTGATTAACCTATATTGTTTTAAGTCAGACACGGTTAGCTCTATCAGTTACAGACAAAAATGCAACACATGACCGATCTTAATGTAAAGATACGATGTATATACTTTACATATGTAAACATTAGAAAGACGTCCCTTTTTAAATCGGTAATGAATCGTCTAAAATCTTATATTGTTGGAGAGAAAATACTAATGGCATACCTTTTGTATTTCGATTTTTCATTTCGTAAAGACAATAATATATGCTCAACTAAGTTCAAGGTATTGTGTGTCTTACATCAGAAACCTTGTCGGTACAGTCCTGTCATGTCCATATCATAATAGATTTTGTTACAAATATCACACAACTAGCCACTCTTTGAAATGTCAAATCTATTCACTCGAGACACAGGGTTCGGTAGTTTTTCAATAGTGAAAAAGTAGAGATGACTTTGTTAATCAATGATCAAAACTAGAATGGTTGATGTATAGTGATAACTTCACAAGTTTTCCGATTGAGTTTTGATACGTGGCATTAAAAATGGCTGATCCTATCGAATATTTGTACGCCGTATCATATTTTGTGTGCCGTCATTAAACTAGACTTATTTGAGCACGATTTGTATACATATTTCCAGAACTAGTAATTGAAACATCGCTTACACCAACACATGAGGATCTCAAAATTGAATGTAATATTCAAAACGCTCCGAACACCTGGGATAAGGTGAAGCTTATCTCCTCTGACGACAGCATTGGAGTTGTAGCTGTTGGCTATTCTAATGGAACAACACAGAAAGACAACAACTCGTACCAACTGACCCTTGAACCCGGCGATAGCAACGTAACACTAAGTCTTCTTTTCCCCAACACCACGAAGCATTGTTTTGTCAGGAGTATCTACACGTGTCAACTTCATAGCAATGGAAATATATTTGTGGAGTCCATGGAGTACATTTCCATCCCAGGTATGTTGATCCTGAGATGTTGTTTTGAAGTGTTCATGCCAAAAATGAACAGCTTCCTTTCTGATCTAAGCGCATTTATCAAAATATCCATATGGGCATATCATTGATCAATACAAATAGTTCATGTTGTGAAAAGTGAAACCATAGTTTCATAAAATTATATAGCAATTGTTTCAATTATTTCATCGAGTCATTAATGAATAAATACTGAAACTAAGTTGCAGACGCAGCGGAGAATATCCACATTGTTGGGCCTACAACGGTGAACGAGGGTGATAGTTATGTGGTGAACTGTAGCGGGGATCTGGCTCCATCAGATAGTACACTGGACCTGTATACCAGAACCGTAAACGCCACGTTATTTACAAAGTCTCCGATTAATCCTCAAATCACGAATGGTAACGTCACCGAATCCTGCTACCTCCACACAACAAAGAGGTACAGTCTCAGCGCCAGTAAGACTGATAATGGCACAGAGATGAGGTGTGAGGCAGCGAATTCCTCCCCTGGTTCAAAGACGATCTCTAGCGCACAAATGATCTTGGTGAAAGTTGCCGGTAACTATATCCCTTTTTACAAATATTGTAACAAAATATATGTACGATAGAAATATTGGGCGAAGTTTGCTATCACACATGTGCGAGCACCATGTGCAGTTCTAGATGTGTAATTGTATCGTTGTAAATAAATCTTTAGAAATGACGTATGAATAAGTGTTGGATAGGGTAAATTTATTTTCTTAATATATATGAAAACAGCTAAGTTTGTGTATATTTCCTGATTAACCTATATTGTTTTAAGTCAGACAAGGTTAGCTCTATCAGTTACAGACAAAAATGCAACACATGACCGATCTTAATGTAAAGATACGATGTATATACTTTACATATGTAAACATTAGAAAGACGTCCCTTTTTAAATCGGTAATGAATCGTCTAAAATCATATATTGTTGGAGAGAAAATACTAATGGCATACCTTTTGTATTTCGGTTTTTCATTTCGTAAAGACAATAATATATGCTCAACTAAGTTCAAGGTATTGTGTGTCTTACATCAGAAACCTTGTCGGTACAGTCCTGTCATGTCCATATCATAATAGATTTTGTTACAAATATCACACAACTAGCCACTCTTTGAAATGTCAAATCTATTCACTCGAGACACAGGGTTCGGTAGTTTTTCAATAGTGAAAAAGTAGAGATGACTTTGTTAATCAATGATCAAAACTAGAATGGTTGCTGTATAGTGATAACTTCACAAGTTTTCCGATTGAGTTTTGATACGTGGCATTAAAAATGGCTGATCCTATCGAATATTTGTACGCCGTATCATATACTGTGTGCCGTCATTGAACTAGACTTATTTGAGCACGATTTGTATACATATTTCCAGAACTAGTAATTGAAACATCGCTTACACCAGCACATGAGGATCTCAAAATTGAATGTAATATTCAAAACACTCCGAACACCTGGGATAAGGTGAAGCTTATCTCCTCTGACGACAGCATTGGAGTTGTAGCTGTTGGCTATTCTAATGGAACAACACAGAAAGACAACAACTCGTACCAACTGACCCTTGAACCCGGCGATAGCAACGTAACACTAAGTCTTCTTTTCCCCAACACCACGAAGCATTGTTTTGTCAGGAGTAACTACACGTGTCAACTTCATAGCAATGGAAATATATTTGTGGAGTCCATGGAGTACATTTCCATCCCAGGTATGTTGATCCTGAGATGTTGTTTTGAAGTGTTCATGCCAAAAATGAACAGCTTCCTTTCTGATCTAAGCGCATTTATCAAAATATCCATATGGGCATATCATTGATCAATACAAATAGTTCATGTTGTGAAAAGTGAAACCATAGTTTCATAAAATTATATAGCAATTGTTTCAATTATTTCATCGAGTCATTAATGAATAAATACTGAAACTAAGTTGCAGACGCAGCGGAGAATATCCACATTGTTGGGCCTACAACGGTGAACGAGGGTGATAGTTATGTGGTGAACTGTAGCGGGGATCTGGCTCCATCAGATAGTACACTGGACCTGTATACCAGAACCGTAAACGCCACGTTATTTACAAAGTCTCCGATTAATCCTCAAATCACGAATGGTAACGTCACCGAATCCTGCTACCTCCACACAACAAAGAGGTACAGTCTCAGCGCCAGTAAGACTGATAATGGCACAGAGATGAGGTGTGAGGCAGCGAATTCCTCCCCTGGTTCAAAGACGATCTCTAGCGCACAAATGATCTTGGTGAAAGTTGCCGGTAACTATATCCCTTTTTACAAATATTGTAACAAAATATATGTACGATAGAAATATTGGGCGAAGTTTGCTATCACACATGTGCGAGCACCATGTGCAGTTCTAGATGTGTAATTGTATCGTTGTAAATAAATCTTTAGAAATGACGTATGAATAAGTGTTGGATAGGGTAAATTTATTTTCTTAATATATATGAAAACAGCTAAGTTTGTGTATATTTCCTGATTAACCTATATTGTTTTAAGTCAGACAAGGTTAGCTCTATCAGTTACAGACAAAAATGCAACACATGACCGATCTTAATGTAAAGATACGATGTATATACTTTACATATGTAAACATTAGAAAGACGTCCCTTTTTAAATCGGTAATGAATCGTCTAAAATCATATATTGTTGGAGAGAAAATACTAATGGCATACCTTTTGTGTATTTCGGTTTTTCATTTCGTAAAGACAATAATATATGCTCAACTAAGTTCAAGGTATTGTGTGTCTTACATCAGAAACCTTGTCGGTACAGTCCTGTCATGTCCATATCATAATAGATTTTGTTACAAATATCACACAACTAGCCACTCTTTGAAATGTCAAATCTATTCACTCGAGACACAGGGTTCGGTAGTTTTTCAATAGTGAAAAAGTAGAGATGACTTTGTTAATCAATGATCAAAACTAGAATGGTTGCTGTATAGTGATAACTTCACAAGTTTTCCGATTGAGTTTTGATACGTGGCATTAAAAATGGCTGATCCTATCGAATATTTGTACGCCGTATCATATACTGTGTGCCGTCATTGAACTAGACTTATTTGAGCACGATTTGTATACATATTTCCAGAACTAGTAATTGAAACATCGCTTACACCAGCACATGAGGATCTCAAAATTGAATGTAATATTCAAAACACTCCGAACACCTGGGATAAGGTGAAGCTTATCTCCTCTGACGACAGCATTGGAGTTGTAGCTGTTGGCTATTCTAATGGAACAACACAGAAAGACAACAACTCGTACCAACTGACCCTTGAACCCGGCGATAGCAACGTAACACTAAGTCTTCTTTTCCCCAACACCACGAAGCATTGTTTTGTCAGGAGTAACTACACGTGTCAACTTCATAGCAATGGAAATATATTTGTGGAGTCCATGGAGTACATTTCCATCCCAGGTATGTTGATCCTGAGATGTTGTTTTGAAGTGTTCATGCCAAAAATGAACAGCTTCCTTTCTGATCTAAGCGCATTTATCAAAATATCCATATGGGCATATCATTGATCAATACAAATAGTTCATGTTGTGAAAAGTGAAACCATAGTTTCATAAAATTATATAGCAATTGTTTCAATTATTTCATCGAGTCATTAATGAATAAATACTGAAACTAAGTTGCAGACGCAGCGGAGAATATCCACATTGTTGGGCCTACAACGGTGAACGAGGGTGATAGTTATGTGGTGAACTGTAGCGGGGATCTGGCTCCATCAGATAGTACACTGGACCTGTATACCAGAACCGTAAACGCCACGTTATTTACAAAGTCTCCGATTAATCCTCAAATCACGAATGGTAACGTCACCGAATCCTGCTACCTCCACACAACAAAGAGGTACAGTCTCAGCGCCAGTAAGACTGATAATGGCACAGAGATGAGGTGTGAGGCAGCGAATTCCTCCCCTGGTTCAAAGACGATCTCTAGCGCACAAATGATCTTGGTGAAAGTTGCCGGTAACTATATCCCTTTTTACAAATATTGTAACAAAATATATGTACGATAGAAATATTGGGCGAAGTTTGCTATCACACATGTGCGAGCACCATGTGCAGTTCTAGATGTGTAATTGTATCGTTGTAAATAAATCTTTAGAAATGACGTATGAATAAGTGTTGGATAGGGTAAATTTATTTTCTTAATATATATGAAAACAGCTAAGTTTGTGTATATTTCCTGATTAACCTATATTGTTTTAAGTCAGACAAGGTTAGCTCTATCAGTTACAGACAAAAATGCAACACATGACCGATCTTAATGTAAAGATACGATGTATATACTTTACATATGTAAACATTAGAAAGACGTCCCTTTTTAAATCGGTAATGAATCGTCTAAAATCATATATTGTTGGAGAGAAAATACTAATGGCATACCTTTTGTATTTCGGTTTTTCATTTCGTAAAGACAATAATATATGCTCAACTAAGTTCAAGGTATTGTGTGTCTTACATCAGAAACCTTGTCGGTACAGTCCTGTCATGTCCATATCATAATAGATTTTGTTACAAATATCACACAACTAGCCACTCTTTGAAATGTCAAATCTATTCACTCGAGACACAGGGTTCGGTAGTTTTTCAATAGTGAAAAAGTAGAGATGACTTTGTTAATCAATGATCAAAACTAGAATGGTTGCTGTATAGTGATAACTTCACAAGTTTTCCGATTGAGTTTTGATACGTGGCATTAAAAATGGCTGATCCTATCGAATATTTGTACGCCGTATCATATACTGTGTGCCGTCATTGAACTAGACTTATTTGAGCACGATTTGTATACATATTTCCAGAACTAGTAATTGAAACATCGCTTACACCAGCACATGAGGATCTCAAAATTGAATGTAATATTCAAAACACTCCGAACACCTGGGATAAGGTGAAGCTTATCTCCTCTGACGACAGCATTGGAGTTGTAGCTGTTGGCTATTCTAATGGAACAACACAGAAAGACAACAACTCGTACCAACTGACCCTTGAACCCGGCGATAGCAACGTAACACTAAGTCTTCTTTTCCCCAACACCACGAAGCATTGTTTTGTCAGGAGTAACTACACGTGTCAACTTCATAGCAATGGAAATATATTTGTGGAGTCCATGGAGTACATTTCCATCCCAGGTATGTTGATCCTGAGATGTTGTTTTGAAGTGTTCATGCCAAAAATGAACAGCTTCCTTTCTGATCTAAGCGCATTTATCAAAATATCCATATGGGCATATCATTGATCAATACAAATAGTTCATGTTGTGAAAAGTGAAACCATAGTTTCATAAAATTATATAGCAATTGTTTCAATTATTTCATCGAGTCATTAATGAATAAATACTGAAACTAAGTTGCAGACGCAGCGGAGAATATCCACATTGTTGGGCCTACAACGGTGAACGAGGGTGATAGTTATGTGGTGAACTGTAGCGGGGATCTGGCTCCATCAGATAGTACACTGGACCTGTATACCAGAACCGTAAACGCCACGTTATTTACAAAGTCTCCGATTAATCCTCAAATCACGAATGGTAACGTCACCGAATCCTGCTACCTCCACACAACAAAGAGGTACAGTCTCAGCGCCAGTAAGACTGATAATGGCACAGAGATGAGGTGTGAGGCAGCGAATTCCTCCCCTGGTTCAAAGACGATCTCTAGCGCACAAATGATCTTGGTGAAAGTTGCCGGTAACTATATCCCTTTTTACAAATATTGTAACAAAATATATGTACGATAGAAATATTGGGCGAAGTTTGCTATCACACATGTGCGAGCACCATGTGCAGTTCTAGATGTGTAATTGTATCGTTGTAAATAAATCTTTAGAAATGACGTATGAATAAGTGTTGGATAGGGTAAATTTATTTTCTTAATATATATGAAAACAGCTAAGTTTGTGTATATTTCCTGATTAACCTATATTGTTTTAAGTCAGACAAGGTTAGCTCTATCAGTTACAGACAAAAATGCAACACATGACCGATCTTAATGTAAAGATACGATGTATATACTTTACATATGTAAACATTAGAAAGACGTCCCTTTTTAAATCGGTAATGAATCGTCTAAAATCATATATTGTTGGAGAGAAAATACTAATGGCATACCTTTTGTATTTCGGTTTTTCATTTCGTAAAGACAATAATATATGCTCAACTAAGTTCAAGGTATTGTGTGTCTTACATCAGAAACCTTGTCGGTACAGTCCTGTCATGTCCATATCATAATAGATTTTGTTACAAATATCACACAACTAGCCACTCTTTGAAATGTCAAATCTATTCACTCGAGACACAGGGTTCGGTAGTTTTTCAATAGTGAAAAAGTAGAGATGACTTTGTTAATCAATGATCAAAACTAGAATGGTTGCTGTATAGTGATAACTTCACAAGTTTTCCGATTGAGTTTTGATACGTGGCATTAAAAATGGCTGATCCTATCGAATATTTGTACGCCGTATCATATACTGTGTGCCGTCATTGAACTAGACTTATTTGAGCACGATTTGTATACATATTTCCAGAACTAGTAATTGAAACATCGCTTACACCAGCACATGAGGATCTCAAAATTGAATGTAATATTCAAAACACTCCGAACACCTGGGATAAGGTGAAGCTTATCTCCTCTGACGACAGCATTGGAGTTGTAGCTGTTGGCTATTCTAATGGAACAACACAGAAAGACAACAACTCGTACCAACTGACCCTTGAACCCGGCGATAGCAACGTAACACTAAGTCTTCTTTTCCCCAACACCACGAAGCATTGTTTTGTCAGGAGTAACTACACGTGTCAACTTCATAGCAATGGAAATATATTTGTGGAGTCCATGGAGTACATTTCCATCCCAGGTATGTTGATCCTGAGATGTTGTTTTGAAGTGTTCATGCCAAAAATGAACAGCTTCCTTTCTGATCTAAGCGCATTTATCAAAATATCCATATGGGCATATCATTGATCAATACAAATAGTTCATGTTGTGAAAAGTGAAACCATAGTTTCATAAAATTATATAGCAATTGTTTCAATTATTTCATCGAGTCATTAATGAATAAATACTGAAACTAAGTTGCAGACGCAGCGGAGAATATCCACATTGTTGGGCCTACAACGGTGAACGAGGGTGATAGTTATGTGGTGAACTGTAGCGGGGATCTGGCTCCATCAGATAGTACACTGGACCTGTATACCAGAACCGTAAACGCCACGTTATTTACAAAGTCTCCGATTAATCCTCAAATCACGAATGGTAACGTCACCGAATCCTGCTACCTCCACACAACAAAGAGGTACAGTCTCAGCGCCAGTAAGACTGATAATGGCACAGAGATGAGGTGTGAGGCAGCGAATTCCTCCCCTGGTTCGAAGACGATCTCTAGCGCACAAATGATCTTGGTGAAAGTTGCCGGTAACTATATCCCTTTTTACAAATATTGTAACAAAATATATGTACGATAGAAATATTGGGCGAAGTTTGCTATCACACATGTGCGAGCACCATGTGCAGTTCTAGATGTGTAATTGTATCGTTGTAAATAAATCTTTAGAAATGACGTATGAATAAGTGTTGGATAGGGTAAATTTATTTTCTTAATATATATGAAAACAGCTAAGTTTGTGTATATTTCCTGATTAACCTATATTGTTTTAAGTCAGACAAGGTTAGCTCTATCAGTTACAGACAAAAATGCAACACATGACCGATCTTAATGTAAAGATACGATGTATATACTTTACATATGTAAACATTAGAAAGACGTCCCTTTTTAAATCGGTAATGAATCGTCTAAAATCATATATTGTTGGAGAGAAAATACTAATGGCATACCTTTTGTATTTCGGTTTTTCATTTCGTAAAGACAATAATATATGCTCAACTAAGTTCAAGGTATTGTGTGTCTTACATCAGAAACCTTGTCGGTACAGTCCTGTCATGTCCATATCATAATAGATTTTGTTACAAATATCACACAACTAGCCACTCTTTGAAATGTCAAATCTATTCACTCGAGACACAGGGTTCGGTAGTTTTTCAATAGTGAAAAAGTAGAGATGACTTTGTTAATCAATGATCAAAACTAGAATGGTTGCTGTATAGTGATAACTTCACAAGTTTTCCGATTGAGTTTTGATACGTGGCATTAAAAATGGCTGATCCTATCGAATATTTGTACGCCGTATCATATACTGTGTGCCGTCATTGAACTAGACTTATTTGAGCACGATTTGTATACATATTTCCAGAACTAGTAATTGAAACATCGCTTACACCAGCACATGAGGATCTCAAAATTGAATGTAATATTCAAAACACTCCGAACACCTGGGATAAGGTGAAGCTTATCTCCTCTGACGACAGCATTGGAGTTGTAGCTGTTGGCTATTCTAATGGAACAACACAGAAAGACAACAACTCGTACCAACTGACCCTTGAACCCGGCGATAGCAACGTAACACTAAGTCTTCTTTTCCCCAACACCACGAAGCATTGTTTTGTCAGGAGTAACTACACGTGTCAACTTCATAGCAATGGAAATATATTTGTGGAGTCCATGGAGTACATTTCCATCCCAGGTATGTTGATCCTGAGATGTTGTTTTGAAGTGTTCATGCCAAAAATGAACAGCTTCCTTTCTGATCTAAGCGCATTTATCAAAATATCCATATGGGCATATCATTGATCAATACAAATAGTTCATGTTGTGAAAAGTGAAACCATAGTTTCATAAAATTATATAGCAATTGTTTCAATTATTTCATCGAGTCATTAATGAATAAATACTGAAACTAAGTTGCAGACGCAGCGGAGAATATCCACATTGTTGGGCCTACAACGGTGAACGAGGGTGATAGTTATGTGGTGAACTGTAGCGGGGATCTGGCTCCATCAGATAGTACACTGGACCTGTATACCAGAACCGTAAACGCCACGTTATTTACAAAGTCTCCGATTAATCCTCAAATCACGAATGGTAACGTCACCGAATCCTGCTACCTCCACACAACAAAGAGGTACAGTCTCAGCGCCAGTAAGACTGATAATGGCACAGAGATGAGGTGTGAGGCAGCGAATTCCTCCCCTGGTTCGAAGACGATCTCTAGCGCACAAATGATCTTGGTGAAAGTTGCCGGTAACTATATCCCTTTTTACAAATATTGTAACAATATATATGTACGATAGAAATATTGGGCGAAGTTTGCTATCACACATGTGCGAGCACCATGTGCAGTTCTAGATGTGTAATTGTATCGTTGTAAATAAATCTTTAGAAATGACGTATGAATAAGTGTTGGATAGGGTAAATTTATTTTCTTAATATATATGAAAACAGCTAAGTTTGTGTATATTTCCTGATTAACCTATATTGTTTTAAGTCAGACAAGGTTAGCTCTATCAGTTACAGACAAAAATGCAACACATGACCGATCTTAATGTAAAGATACGATGTATATACTTTACATATGTAAACATTAGAAAGACGTCCCTTTTTAAATCGGTAATGAATCGTCTAAAATCATATATTGTTGGAGAGAAAATACTAATGGCATACCTTTTGTATTTCGGTTTTTCATTTCGTAAAGACAATAATATATGCTCAACTAAGTTCAAGGTATTGTGTGTCTTACATCAGAAACCTTGTCGGTACAGTCCTGTCATGTCCATATCATAATAGATTTTGTTACAAATATCACACAACTAGCCACTCTTTGAAATGTCAAATCTATTCACTCGAGACACAGGGTTCGGTAGTTTTTCAATAGTGAAAAAGTAGAGATGACTTTGTTAATCAATGATCAAAACTAGAATGGTTGCTGTATAGTGATAACTTCACAAGTTTTCCGATTGAGTTTTGATACGTGGCATTAAAAATGGCTGATCCTATCGAATATTTGTACGCCGTATCATATACTGTGTGCCGTCATTGAACTAGACTTATTTGAGCACGATTTGTATACATATTTCCAGAACTAGTAATTGAAACATCGCTTACACCAGCACATGAGGATCTCAAAATTGAATGTAATATTCAAAACACTCCGAACACCTGGGATAAGGTGAAGCTTATCTCCTCTGACGACAGCATTGGAGTTGTAGCTGTTGGCTATTCTAATGGAACAACACAGAAAGACAACAACTCGTACCAACTGACCCTTGAACCCGGCGATAGCAACGTAACACTAAGTCTTCTTTTCCCCAACACCACGAAGCATTGTTTTGTCAGGAGTAACTACACGTGTCAACTTCATAGCAATGGAAATATATTTGTGGAGTCCATGGAGTACATTTCCATCCCAGGTATGTTGATCCTGAGATGTTGTTTTGAAGTGTTCATGCCAAAAATGAACAGCTTCCTTTCTGATCTAAGCGCATTTATCAAAATATCCATATGGGCATATCATTGATCAATACAAATAGTTCATGTTGTGAAAAGTGAAACCATAGTTTCATAAAATTATATAGCAATTGTTTCAATTATTTCATCGAGTCATTAATGAATAAATACTGAAACTAAGTTGCAGACGCAGCGGAGAATATCCACATTGTTGGGCCTACAACGGTGAACGAGGGTGATAGTTATGTGGTGAACTGTAGCGGGGATCTGGCTCCATCAGATAGTACACTGGACCTGTATACCAGAACCGTAAACGCCACGTTATTTACAAAGTCTCCGATTAATCCTCAAATCACGAATGGTAACGTCACCGAATCCTGCTACCTCCACACAACAAAGAGGTACAGTCTCAGCGCCAGTAAGACTGATAATGGCACAGAGATGAGGTGTGAGGCAGCGAATTCCTCCCCTGGTTCGAAGACGATCTCTAGCGCACAAATGATCTTG